GAGCCAATATGAGTAGTAGTGGGCCAGTGTTAGTTAGTCAATGTGAGTATTAGTGAAGCATTAGTGAGCCAATGCCAGTATTCGTGAGCCAATCTCAGCATTAGTCAGCCAATCTCAGTATTGGTGAGCCAATGTCAGTGTGAGTGAGTTAATGTATTAGTAGTCCGGCAAAAACAACCCCCTACCTCCTCGTGGTGCCGGATGGCAACGGTGGGCAGTGCCGTGGGGGGAGGGCCAATTTAGATAGACCATTCCCCTCATGGCGTTTGTAACCACCACAGCAGCCAAATGGAGCTCTGGACGGGTGCAAGGGGCTGGTAACCCCTCCACCTTTAATTAATTACCACAAAACCACGTAAAATATCTACTTAATAAGCTTGTGCCGGAGGCCCTGGGGGGACAGGTGTCTATGACATCTCCTGGCCAAAACCCATTTGGCGGAGCCAGGAGATTTAATCTTTACCCTAGGAGCTCCTCCAGAAACAACAAAAAGCCACTTCGGATGGCCACGTGGAATGTTTGAACACTCACTGCGGAGGAGAGGCTGCCACTCCTCTGTTGGGAGCTGGACCTATACTGCCTGGATCCCTGTGGTATTCAGGAAGTCCAGTGGACTGGCTCTGGCTCCTGCCATCATGAGGGGTGGACAGTCCTCTACTCGGGGCAGGAGACTGCCAAACAACAGAGAGTGGCTCTTCTTCTGAACAAAAGAAAGAAGGGGGCATGGGAGCGTGGCGGTGAGGTATGGGAAGCGGTAAGCCCCAGACTACTTTGGGCTCACCTTCCCATCAACCGGAGGTGAGGAGTGGTGGTCGTGGTTACTTATACTCCCACCGAAGACAAACATCCGTGGAGGGATGCAGGCAAGGCCGATGAGTCAGATGGCTTCTATAACACAGGTGCTAGTTAAAGTGGCCCATTGGGAGAGATTCATCTTGTTGGGCGACTTCAATGCCCAAGTTGTTCATGATGCTGGCACCTGGTCTGGAGTGATTGGAAGGCATGGGCCAGATCAGCTCAATAACAACAGTAGGAGGCTGCTAGATTTTTGTGCAGCCCATGGGCTTGTAATTACCAACACACTGTTTCGGCATCGGCACATCCACACAACAAATTGGTGATGGGGCAGTTGTGGAGAGAGTGGAGAGTTTCCCATACCTGGGCAGTGTGCTCATGACCGGCTCCGGTTTGACAGCAGAGGTCTCACTCTGAATCAGTCGAGCGTCATCTTTTCATCGGTTGCGTAACGCTGTGTGGACACTACCCGGTCTGTCGCTCCGCACGAAGCTTCAGGTCTTCTCGGCCACGGTTATTCCCTCCCTTCTCTATGCTTGCGAAACGTGGACTTCCCTAACGGAACATCTTCGCCGGTTAGAAACATTTAGGCTGGCCTGCCTACGATCCATCCTGGGTTTAACGAGGCTGGATTTTGTGAGCAGCTCACAAATCCTTGAAAGATCTGGGCAAAGTCCCATCGGTAAGCTCCTCCAGCAGGCAAGGCTGCGTTGGCCGGGTTATGTAGCCCGCATGCCCAGCCACCGCATGCCTAAACAGCTTTTGTTTGGCCGGATCGAGGGGGCTAAACTGGCACAGCATGGGCTAGAGAAGAGATGGAGTGATGTGGTACAGGAGGATGTGGAGCTGAGTGGACTTGCCGATGACTGGTACCAGCGGTGTCAAGATCGGCCTCTGTGGAGGAGGCTCGTGAAGGATGCTACTGGGCAGCTGGAGGCAGTCGCCCTCCAACAACAATGGAGGGGGGAGGAGCGACGCTCACAACAACGAGCGGAGCGCCGGGTGGCTAAAGCGCAGCAAGTTGGCACAGTTGGGGGCACAGGTGGTGCATCAGCCAGTCATCTCAGTCAGTCGACCTGTGGCACCTGAGTCTGCCCCGTGACCTCCTGCCAGCGGGCGTTCGACACTTCACGTGGCCTCAACGTGCACATAGCCTGGCACAAGCGTCGTGGTGACGTCACCGCCACTTAGTGGCAAATGGCGGTTGTTGTTTTTGTATTAGTGAATGTAATAGTGAACCAATGTCAGTGAGTGAGTCAATGTGAGTATTAGTGAATGTATTAGTGAGACAATGGCAGTATTGGTGAGCCAATGTAAGTGTGAGTCAATTTGTGTATTAGTGAATGCGTTAGTGAGCCAATGTCAGTGTGAGTGAGTCAATGTGAGTATTAGTGAATGCATTAGTGAGCCATTGTCAGTGTGAGTCAATGTGAGTATTAATGAATGCATTAGTGAGCTAATGTCAGTGTGAGTGAGTCAATATGAGTATTAGTGCATGCATTAGTGAGTTAATGTCAGTGGGAGTGAGTCAATGTGAGTATTAGTGAATGCATTAGTGAGCTAATGTCAGTGTGAGTGAGTCAATATGAGTATTAGTGCATGCATTAGTGAGTTAATGTCAGTGGGAGTGAGTCAATATGAGTATTAGTGAATGCATTAGTGAGCTAATGTCAGTGGGAGTGAGTCAATGTGAGCATTAGTGAATGCATTAGTGAGTTAATGTCAGTGGGAGTGAGTCAATGTGAGTATTAGTGAATGCATTAGTGAGCTAATGTCAGTGTGAATGAGTCAATATCACTCCTGGCCAATAGTAGTATTGATATAATGTCAGTATTAGCAAGCCAAGGTTCTCTAAAATACAGTCAACTGTTTCCAATTCTGTTACTATCAACAATAGCATCCATTATATCAGTGTAAGTCAGTAATCAGTAATATATACGTTAGTAGAAATGCTCACGGCAAATTAGGTTCGTCGTTTCGACAAAATTGAGGAAAGCCAGAGGTCACGGACACCGGCAACACGTCGCTTGCGACACAGCCAGGCGAAGGAGCTCCCCGTTTCCATAATCACAGAGGGATTCACGAGCCCTCAAGCGAACCAAAACACAGGCACTCCTTGACGTCACGCGACGATAGATGCGTTCCTGAGAAAAGAGCGCGTGTCTCAAAATCGGGTTACGTCTAAAAAAGCAATTTTCTCCATGAGAAATAATGGTAAAGAAAGGGGTGGGGGGGGGGGGGGTTGGGGTTTAGGGGATTTCACTCACACTCGCAGACATAATCGCCAATATTATCCTCGCCGATATCAATACAATACACGTACACACAATATAATAATTTGAATGTAAAAGAAAATCACGTAGACTCTAATATGCTTCATATGAATAAAATAGAAAGTAAAGAAATGCAGTATTAACACATAAGCTTTCGCGACCAACACCACACCACTGGTGTGTTGCTGTACGAGTAACGAATTGGCACGTTCGGTTGACGTGACGAACCTTACTGATTGTCTGTGTCGGGTGGTGGCGGATTTAACGACACGTTTATATTTACGCGATCTAACCCAAAAAATTACCTGCGTTATGGGACGCACAGTATTACTTACTAGTAACTACACAGTAGCTGCGCTGTGGAGACAATGGGAAGAGCGCCGATGTACACGCGTGGCGAGATGCCGCAAAAGGTGTTAGCGTACTAGTCATCGTGTAGCGAACTAGTCATCGTGTAGCGAACTAGTCATCGTACCGCACTGGCTGCTAGCAACGCTATTGGGGTCGCGGTGCCAGGCTATAGGGGTGGTGCGTGCGTCGCGTTGAGGGTGGCGTCATTCCGAAATTTGTACGTCAATAAAAGGTCTAAATGCAAAGCGTGGCGCGTTATTCCAATATGGCGTACCGCGAAAGCGTGTAAAGCGAGGTTTTGCCGGTATAGGCCAGTTTTAAACAACGTTAGGCGGATGTGTGTGGTTTTTTTACCTTCGAAAAATTACGTAAATCGCGCTGGCAAATGGTGGCCGATGGGCTCAGGGGGATCCACAATGGCCACGTCATAGCACTAAATGAAGCTACGTGTAACCTGGAGAAAGATCCACACAACCACGGGGAGAATGCGCAGACTCCAGGTAGACAGCCGCCGTCAGGGTCGGGATCGAACCCACAACCTCCTGCGTACCAGCCGAGGGAGATGACATCTCCTCGCCACCGCGGCGGTTGCTGTGTGCGCGTGGTTTTTAAGGTTTCGCGGTGTCCACCCTGGTTAATGCTGCGGGTGTGTTAACCGAACGGAACGCAGCCATCTGTTAGAACAGTGGATGTTAAACATTCTGTGACGTCCAAATTTGCCTAATTTTAAAAATAAAATAAAAAATATAAAACGTCGTGATTAATTTCCCGTTGCGTCGTTGTCCATGCAAATTGCATCTCTCACAAACGCCGTGGAGGAACCAGAGACGAAGCCGGAAGACTGCCAGGTGAAGATCCGGCACCAACAGTTGCTCTGCAGCTCTCTGCATATTACGATGTTTTCAGGCAATTTGTGAACGTTTACCATACACGTGGGAGGAAACCAGAGCACCCGTCGAAAACCCGCACGTGCGAGGGGGCAACACTCTATCCCACGCGGAAGAGAAAAGCCAAGGGTATGACACCTCGATGCGCCCGTGCGGAAATGGAGTCTCGCAGCATTTGACATTCGCGCGGTGATCCACCAACCTCCCACCTCGACAGATCACAGGCCACCGTGCGTAGCCACCAATACTCCCCCTCGGCTTACATGGCCCATTCACCTGCTCGTTACTCAATGGGGATTGCACGTGGCACCGACTACGAAACCGCTGCGAGCCGGCGGCCGTGAAATTCAGTGACGAGAGCTTTGGCTCCGCGAGAACGACCGCGCCGACGCCAAGAGGCATTCAGCAATTATAATTAATCGCGTCGCCGCGTCAGAAGGCCTTAAGTCGCTCGCGCAAAAAAAACAAAATCCCCGGACAGCTTTTTAATCCCGGGCGCCGGGTGCGGAATCCAGCCCCGCGGAGGCGTATGCAACAAAGGTTAACCCTTTCCCGCTTCCGATGACGTACGAGGACGCACGCGTACGTCGTCGGAACGGAAGGCGGAAGAAAAACGGAAGTAGAATAACTTCGTCGGTGACGGAGACGGTTTTTTAGGCACGGTTTTTGGCGCCAGCTGTCGCAGAGTAGCGGCGGTCGCGTCGCCAACGGTTCTCCGCGGTGAGCAACAACGTCGTTGAAAACCAACGGCGCTGCAACGCCTCTCTGAATAAAGTGAACGCCGAACCCGCTTGTGCCCTTCCGAGATTCCGCGAGGAACGGGACCCACCCCGCCAGCTGGACTCCTGTGAGAAAAAGAGCTTCTCGGCCCGTCGGATTCCTCCGGTCTAAGTAAAAACGAATGTTCTCACTGTGAACTTGCAGCCCGTCTCGATGCGGGAAAAGGTTAATTGAGCGCGTTTGGCACTTGCGCCGCTCACTTTCTCCTCGGCGCTTACAGCTGTCCTTTAGAGCGTGCGCACGACGCGCAGAGGGATACCAATTAGCGCGCCAAAATTAAAACCAGCTTCACAGCACTGCGGGTTATTTATATTTTTCACCCCCGCCCCAACCCCTCTCTCGCTACCCATCTCACCCTCCTCTAACGGCTGATAAGGGGCCGAATTCACACCTGGCTTGCTGACAGAGACTGATTAAGTTGTTAAAAACTCTGAATAATTATTATTTTTATAATGGGATGGCAGACGGATCCAATGATTTTTTTTATTATTAATTACGAGGGTGTTAATAACGAGTCCTGGCGTGATAGGTTAGCAGCGCACTGGACGACGCCCAAGCCAGAGAGGTCTCGCCAGTTTGATTCGATCTTAGTCTTAGTTCTTTCGGTAAAGTCACGTAGGTAAAAAATGAAATTAAAATTAATAAAAATAGTGATTTTTATTTTATTTTTATTAATTTTAATTTCATTTTTTACCTACGTGACTTTACCGAAAGAACTAAGAGTATGAATCCTTGCAGTCACGAAAGCTTCAAATCTAGAATTGATTCGATCTCCCAGGACCTGGCGGTTGAGGTCCCCCCAACGCCCTTCCACCACCTCTGTGCCACCCTGCGGCTACAAATGGGTTCGCCGCAGTCGGTTCAATCGGCAGGTCAATGTGGCCGGGTAAAGTGGGGGGGGGGGTTATATTTGGAGAGGTATTTCACGGAACGAATTTTGTCCGCTTGGTGGGTGCGGTAACGCGAGCGGCTGTTTTCGTCGCCGACAATTCGGTCGTGCGAACACACCCCCCCCGCCCGCCCCCCCCCGGTTTACGTAAAGGCCGGGCCGTGCTGGAGGCCCCTGAAACCTTGACACGAGGAGGCCACTGTCAGAGTTCCAGCCTTGTTGGCCACGATGAGACCAAATCTCAAATTCAAACGTGACGCACCTCCCCTCCGTGCGGCCGCTGGCAGATTGGCCCGAGTTCCGCATGGCGGGCATCCAGAATTCCTCCTGGCCTTGCCATCCGTGCCCTTCTTTTGAGCCAAATTATATTTCTTTTTGTCCGACTGCCAGCTGCCCTCTCCCCCCCATTCTGAATGAACCACATGCGGAGCTCCCTTTGCGAATTCTTCACCCTTGGTGCATAACCAGTAACCAGGTGGGAGGCCCCTGGCAAAAAAATAAAATAAACTGAAGGGATGGATCTCTACATTGCTCTTCTTCTCGAGGGATACGTTCCGGAGATGCTCGTGAAGAGCAAATTTCGCGGGCAATGACATTGGCCTACAAAAGCCTTTTTTTATATTCATTATCTTAAATAAAAACATAATTGAGCTATTAAATACATGACAATTATCATAACACAAATTGAAAAGCAAAATATTCAAGTACAGTATTAAATAATAGTTTATGAATTAATTTTATCTCAAATTATGATGATGATGCGTATTGGAAGGATGCCGTTGCATGTGCGTTTATCGTATGTCTGCAGATGCTTCTAAAGCTTTGAGAAGTTATCTCTCATCACTGTATCTCTCTTCACTTTATCTCTCATCACTTTATCTCTCATCACTTTATCTCGCATCACTTTATCTCTCTTCACTTTATCTCTCGTAACTTTATCTCTCATCACTTTATCTCTCATCACTTTATCTCTAATCACTTTATCTCTCATCACTTTATCTCTCATCACTTTATCTCTCATCACTTTATCTCTCATCACTTTATCTCTCATCACTTTATCTCTCGTCACTTTATCTCTCGTAAATGTATCTCTCGTCACTTTATCTCCCATCACTTTATCTCTCATCACTTTATCTCTCATCACTTTATCTCTCATCATTTTATCTCTCATCACTATCTCTCGTCACTTTGTCTCTCGTCACTTTATCTCTCGTCACTTTATATCTCGTCACTTTATCTCTCGTTAATGTATCTCTCAGTCACTTTATCTCTCGTGACTATTTAACTATTTTTATTTCACCAGGTAAGGAATGCTGAGCTATATATCTTATTTCAGAATTCATTTGGCCACAAATGAAAGCTCAACGAAGTCGCTTATCACGTGGAAATGTATAGCAGCCAAATACTCTAAACGCGTGTTTCTAAATGTGGAGGGGGGGGGGGGGAACGCAGAGAGAAAGCCACGTGGCTACGAGGAGAGAGACACCGCAATCTCCAAATATACAGCAGCAGGCGTCAGGGCCGAGAACGAACCCACGACCTCCTGCATACCTGGCGAGGTAGTTAACATCTCCCCGCCTCTCTGTTCGCCCAAACGTGGGTGATGGGGTAACGTGTGGATACTACTCCCACCTCTTCCTAGTCGTCTGGCCAAGGATATGGAAGATTAGACCAAACATCCCCCGAGGTGGGGAGAGGGAGGGGGGGGGGGGTTCTAGTCTTAGACTTCAGCCACACACTCCTCCACCGAGATCTCTGAGCTCCTACCTTCATTCACCCGCAGTGACCAGTGTGTAGGTGAAGTATGGTCGAGAACCCCCAATGACCCACGCGTCGCTCGAGCGCCCCCCCCCCTTCCCCCCGTCCACCGACATTGCGCTCGTTCTGCTCACGTGACGTCTTCGGTCATCGTTTTTCCACGTGGCACCTGCGGCCATACTGAGGGTGTGGAGGAGGGGGGCAGCCACTCATCCAGCAGTGGATTGACACTCGTACTTCGGCGTCCGCCTCAGACCCCCCCCCCCCGCCAGCACCTGGCTCTTCTCACCCCCTTGCCCCCTCCTTGCCCCCCCCCTTCCTATCACACTGCCCATGACCCAGATCCTCTGCCCCCCCCACTCTCCGGCCTGTCGATCACACAGTGGCCCACGTGCGCAGGATGCCCGCGTGTGTGCCGGCCGGTCGCGTCGCAGATTCAAAGCCCCGATCGCCGCTTTGGCTGAACGTCGCGAGGGGGGGACTGGGGGGCTGGTGGGGCGGGGGGGGGCGGAAAATCGCCGCCAGTCTCACTCGGAGACTTGGTGGCGCGGTTGCCGCGGGGAAAACCTCGACGCGTACGCGCGAATGAAACCCTCGTTCGTGAAACACGCAGACGCCGCAGCGGCCGCGTCTCTCCCGTGTGTCTCTGTGCTCCGTTTGCGCCCAATGATGTCCAACCCCCCCCCCCCCACCGATTTTTGTTGTTGTGCGCAGACTTAAATAGCACGCGACTGGTTTACAGAGCGGGGGGAGGAGGAGGGTATTTGATCTCAAGTCAATTAATAGCTTTTTTTTTAGGTATTTTTTTTTGCGTGTTGGCGGCCTTCGTGAGAAAGCCGCCAACACGAGGTGAAGTCAAAACAATTGGGCCGGTGGACAACTCCATTCGGAAGGGCGGTCGTGCCCTTCGGAAGGGCCGTCGTTAATTCACTGGGTGTAGCAACGCATTGGCGGACTGGCTGTGACGCACGTGGCGGTCCTGTCGTCCGGCCGTGTCGGAGGGCAAGCGGGGGTTGGTTGATGACCGCGCAAATGTTGTGAGAGAGAAAAAAAATCCCTTCTCAGGGGCGTCTAGGAGGTGCCATCCTCCTGGCTCACCGGGAGAAGGCGGTACAACAAGCGGACTGATCGCCGTCTGTTTCCATCTGTACGGGGGAGGGCGGGTGGAGTGTTTTCCCACCTTGCACGCGCGTGGGTTTTTTTTCCCTGGGTCGCTCCGGTTTCCTCCCACGTGTGTGCGAACACTCGTTAATTGGCCGATAGCACGTGGACACGTCTGGTGGGATCGCTTCCCTCCGGCTGCCAGAGGGCGAGAGGGGGAACGAGGGAGATGGGAGGGGTGAGGGCCAAGCTCAAGGAGCCATGCACGTGACCCGAGCCACGCTGGCCTCTTGCAGAAATGGCCCTGGTGCGGCTCGAGTCTGACGTCTAATGCCCGTGGTGAACGCAGCATCATTGGGATCTATGTTGAGAGTTGTTTTCGTCGTCCGTCAACCCGCACACCGGGGGATGAAGGAGAAGGAGGAGGAGAAGAAAAAGAAGAAGGAATGAAGAGAAAAAAGGAAACAAAACGCCTCCGGTCTCAGACATCGCCAAGCCTTGGTCCAATAAATATTCACAACTTATGAATGCTAATGGACAGCTCCCGTGATCGACGGAGCGGCCTTGATATTTGATGACCTCGAAAAACACACCCGGGGGGCTCCACCCGCAGCCGTGACGCAAGATTCAACGTTCTCCCCACCCAAGCGGGCCAAGTGGTGAATCGAGGTTACGCCTGCGACTTTGAAGGGAGTGAGGGTGGCTGTGTGCTTCGCCTCTTCAGGCGGCGGGCTGCGCTGCCGCACGCGGCCGCCTGTGATCCAGCGAGGGTTGTATGGGGATAGAGCGTTTCCCCCTTGCGCGCGCTTTTCCCTCACGTGTATAAACACTCATTATTGGCTGAAAACATCTGAATATATAGAGAACTGCAGGACGTGGGCCAATTGTTGGTCGCGCCGGCTTCACTGCCTTGCCTGCTACTGCCTCCCATCTTCGTCTGTGGTTGGTCTGGGCTGTGTGATCAAATGTGCATGACCGACGGCGCTATACATGAAATTGAACATTCTCTCTGCACTTCAATTGGATGGTGCTGCCCTTAAGCAGATGCACTTTCAGAAATCACTCGGTCAGAAACGTCACCCCACTCACAGCCGGGAATGTCCTTGGATTATAGTTAAAATAATAATACTGCTCAGAATACGCCCGCGAGTATTGATATAACATCACCAGATCTTTAATGTCCACTTCGAAGCAGACGCCTCATATTTACGGTGAATGCATCCACCGCATAACATAATAAAACAAATGATAACCTTCTACACTCGCGCCATTCTGATCGCGCAAGGCTATCATTAAGGCGCCACTTTGCACAGATGAGTATAGTCTTGCCAGTAGGAGGGCAATGTTGCTTTGTGGGGGCTTTTTTTGTTCTTCCCAATTAAGTAATCTGCGAGTCATTTTTTCTTCTTCAAATGTGACCTGCCACGCGGGCGCTAAACTCTTTCCAAACGACGTCACGGGGATCTTTAAACGTCCGATGTGAAGCAGATGGCAGCGCGCTGACCGAGTAAGCGCGGTCGGCTACGTACGGTGCCAAAGAAGTTCAACATACAGCACATATACGTAAGATGTCAGAATCAGAATCTTTGTTTATCCTGGAGGAATCCGATCAAGCTATAGAGCTCTTTTTCACAAATGTCCAGTCGGGGGCGGGTGGGTCAGTGAGTTCCATCATCAAACAAATATTAAAAAAAAAACGATATAAGAGAAAAATAGAAAAAAGGTAAGCAAGTCGCTAAAACCAAATACGTAATTATGAATAAAGTATAGAAGTACAACTTGCACAAGCACATACGTTCCTACCGATTTGTAAACACCAACATGCATACGCGCAGGAACAGATATTAAAAGGAGACGTTGTTGTCAGCTTATCTTATGAATCGTATTCTCTGCTACAAAGCACGTGGCTTGTTTTTTTTTCTGTATGGCGTTGATCTTGTTTGGTTAATGTTCTTCCCGCAGAGATAACTGGGCTAAGCGGCTGGGCTCGGAGGCGATGATGGTTTTTGCTGCAATTTTCCAGCCCGTCGCGATTCTATGAAATCCCGGAGAAAATGTGTTGTCCCGACACTGAGCCTGAAGTAAAACTTCCACGGTCCCATCCATGGTGGTGTCCCACTCTCTTCTTCAACACAAAGTGGCACTTGTTTTAAACAACCACCACAGAGATATTATGGAGATCATTTGAAACCAGGCCTAGGGTTATATTTTAAACCACTGCCCATCCCAGACAAATTAAATTGAAATACAATTAAGAGTTACTAAATGTAAAAGTTTTTTTATATTATTTCGTAATAAAATCGTGCATTATATATTTAAATTAGCGGAGAAATAAACACACAACACCTTAATTATTTGGACTAAGTGACAATTGTGGAAAATAATTAATTTGCAGTCATTAGTGGACTAAACGACTTTTGTGTGCAATTGTTTGAGCTTGAATCAAGCTCACACATGCATGTTGACTGGACGAGCAAAAAATAATGATGATGGGTTTTTTTTTTAGAAGACCACATTTTTATTTACGAGACATCAAAACGGTGAGGGGGCTTTGTTTGGCCAAAAACAACCTTTGGTCGCATTCGGCGTTCGTGAGATGAATCCGTGCACATATTTAATCGGTGCTTTAATCGGCTTTTTCCAACTATAGGGCCGTCACTGAATGTTGATGTCCCTCCAAAAATGCTGCTCATTTTATGGATTCCAAAAGGGACGATTGGCTGTAGTTGAATCCAGAGCAGCGTTTTTAAGCTGCAAACTTAATCATAATTTCACATTTTTAACGCGCTGCCACCGCCGCACACAGTATTTGCTCGTTCTGGAAGAGAGAAAACGAGTCAGAGGCGCGTGGAGGAACCACAGAAGGGCAGAGGGTTCAGCATCCAAGTTCTGCAGTCCTCTATATATAAAGTTGGTGTTGGCCTGTCAGTGTCATCCATTGAGATGAATATGACACAGCTACCCTGAACAAGAGGAGGGAACAGCAAAACGACACCAACTCTTCTTCTTGGTTCTTTCGGTAAAGTCACATAGAAGGGAAATAATAAAATAATATGAATATAAAACAATAAAAAAACATTTAGATTTAAAGCTTTCGTTACTGCAGGGATTCATCTTCTTGGTTCTTTCGGTAAAGTCACGTATTTTATTATGTTTTATTTTTATTATTTTATTACTTCCCTTCTACGTGACTTCACCGAAAGAACCAAGAAGAAAAATAAAAAAAACATACTAATAGGGGTTTTCCCCTTTTTTTCTGGCAACAAAACTGACACCTTTTGCAAGGAATCATGTTTGCATTAACCACAATACTTGCAGTCAAATGCAAACAAAAAACAATACTCTGATAATTTATGCATTTCGATTTAAAGCTTTCGTAACTGCAGGGATTCATCTTCTTGGTTCTTTCGGTAAAGTCACGTAGAAGGGAAATAATAAAATAATAAAAATAAAACATAATAAAATAATTCTCACGACGTTTCGACCTCGACGCAAGCAGCCGTCCTCAGGTGAAGAACAGGTCTGTCGGAAAGACAGCGTCTGAATGAATATCATGTTTTATTTTTAATATTTTATTATTTCCCTTCTATGTGACTTTACCGAAAGAACCAAGAAGATGAATCCCTGCAGTCACGAAAGCTTTAAATCGACACCAACTCTCTCTGCTAAAGCCCTCTTGTCGTGGCCAGGCGCAGAGCTCGACATTGGCATTTAGCTTCTGAACATATTGCTGTCATCCGTGGCAACAATAGAATAGGTACAAGCTAATATTCTTTTATTCCGGCGGGGGGGGCGGGTGATGTGACCATACGATATCACCGACAATGTTTGATTCCACCCACCATCACTGCCATGGAACCAAAAAGAGAACGCAATTCAATGCACGGAGGGCACAACATCTCCACTTTTCCTGCTGCGCGTTTTCAAAGTGGCCTTGTTGAGCCTTAATGCGGCGACGGTGACGGCGCTCGCCGGAGTGTTGTGGCCCGAATGCGACCCACCACCCACCACCCACCCCCCGGGGGTTAAACGTGGTTCTAAAGCGATGACAAGGAATCCACGTGTCACCCGGAGGGGCAGTGGGGAGGGTGATAGCAAGGGCTTATCAGCTCAACGAAGTGGCTTATCACGTGGGATATTCGTAGCAACCAGATATTCTAAATGCACGTTTCGAAATGTGTAGGGGAAAACCGGAGGACCCGGAGATAAATCCACGCGACCACAAGGAGAGAGAGACACGCAAGCTCCACATATACAGAGTAGCTAACATCTTACCACCACAGCACTATTACCATGTCTTACAGAGCAGGAGATAGATAAAGCATTTGTGTTTGTTAGTGGTGCAGTATTACTGAAGGACTTTGTGCTCATTGTCTGATGTTTTTCACTTTTGTTTTAGCTGTTTGCTGCTGTGCTCACGCACCACGGATCTCCCGTGTAAAGCCACGTGTCACCCGGAGGGGTAGTGGGGAGGGTGACGCAAGGGCTTATCAAAGTCCAAGAGACGGGGCGAGGGGCACAGGCGTGTGTGCCTTACACGATTTCAAGAGAGCAACGCTTGCTGGAGAGGTGAGGTGAGAGCGAGGAGTGGGGGGGAGTTGGCGTGTGGAGAAATGATGTGAATTATTGAAGGGTTTACTACTCCACGTGTCATAAGGTATATCGTAACATTGGCGGGTGGTGGGTTATTGTTGTTTTTACGAAGTGTGTAAGGATTTTGTTAATGGATTTTAATGATTCACCGCCACCTGCTGCTGCTGCTGCTGCTTCATCCTCCTAAGAATCGGTGAATTGTCGCACTCTGGGGTCGCGATCTCAGGCCTCTATCGGACTTTATCTGATTCGTAAATCAATGTTTCTAATGCGATTTTCAGTGCGCGTACAAGTGGAGAATCCGTGAGGGCAAAACATTAAACATGATCAGAATCAGAATATGTATTTATACTAGAGGAATTCGATGAACTATTAAGCTAAAAAAATTCCGATGAGCTATTAAGCTCATGGGATTCTTTTCAGACGGTCGCTTGCGTTGCGATCGAAACGTCGTGATGGAAACGTCGTGATCTATTATTTTGTCTACCTACGTGACTTTACCAAAAGAACCAACGAGTATGGATTCCTGCAGTCATGAAAGCTTCAAATCAAGATCTTTATTTTATAAAGCATCGCCCGGCCTCTGTCCACCTGGCAGTATAAATGGGCACAGTAGCATGACATTTGGTCCATCAGCAGGGTTTGCATGCGGTGGGGGAAAAAAATGTGGATACGCGCTCCCACCTCTTTCCAAGACGTTTGGCCAGCGTGGAAGAGTAGGCCAAAAATATCCTCTCAAGGACGATGTTGAGAGCTCCCTCGAGTGGCGTGGGCAATTGCAGGGCTGCGCCCTTACGTTATCCACTACAGTGCCCTTTTCATTCGCATTCTTTGTGATCATATGTCACAAGCATATGTCACAGCATATGACATTTGCTGTGACAGCAGGTAATACACAATTATTGAAAACCTTTTTATTGTACGCAAACATATTGCTATCAATCAAAATTTATTACTTTTCTTAAAGCCAAAGCCCCTGTACATAAATCATTATCCTCTACGCAAAAACACTGTAAAATCATGGCAATGTAATCGGTACGTAGGTTAATCTACCCACCACGCCTTGTCTAACGTTAATTTAGTTGTACGTGTTCTGTATACTACAAGGGGCTATCACTCACCAATCGATGTTCGCCACGGCCCGGAATTGAACTCACGTCGCCGGCTCAATGTCGCAGCGTTGTTCGCAACCACAGCGGAACCACCACTGACACTCTCGCTGCGGCAGACCGAGGGAATGTTCGTCTGCAACAGGCTCCTTCGATGCCTGTTGCTGAATTGACGAGAACATTTGAACTTCAGACTCGTGGCACAAACGAGACGCGTTTTAATGAGGCTGGTGAATATTAAAATGAGACAAAATTTGCTCATTCCGCCGAATTCAACCACATTTCATAGGAGCGCGGTTCCATGTGCATTGCGTCACCAACTTACACGCGATAGTGTAAACAAACCTCGGGGATAATTGTATTCGTAGGGCTTACACGGCGAACAGTGTTGATTCGTAATTAGTGTCTGTAAAATTTCGATTTAAAGCTTTCGTGACTGCAGGAATTCATCTTCTTGGTTCTTTCGGTAAAGTCACGTAGAAGGGAAATAATAAAATAATAAAAATAAAACATAATAAAATTATTCTCACGACGTTTGGAAAGACAGCGTCTTTCCGACAGACCTGTTCTTCACCTGAGGACGGCTGCTTGCGTTGTGGCCGAAACGTCGTGAGAATTATTTTAGTATGTTTAATTTTTATTATTTTATTATTTCCCTTCTACATGACTTTACCGAAAGAACCAAGAATATGAATCCCTGCAGTCACGAAAGCTTTAAATCAAAGCTCATTGGATGTTGTAAAAGCGATAACTGAATATTAAAACAGAAACAATTTTTTTTGTTATCCAGGTAAAGCCCACTGAGTTATGTAGCTCTTTAACAGCTTAACGAAGTGGCTTATCACGTGGGATATTCATAGCAACCAGATATTCGAAATGCACGTTTCGAAATGTGTAGAGGAAAACCGGAGGACCCGGAGAAAAATCCACTCGACCACAAGGAGAGAGAGAGACATGCAAACTCCACATATACAGGGTAGCTAACATCTTGCCACCACAGCGCCCTATCATGTCTTACAGACCAGGAGATAGTTAAAGCATTTGGGTTTGTTAGTGGTGCAGTATTCCTGAAGGACTGTGTGCTCATTGTCTGATGTTTTTCACTTTTGTTTTTAGTTGTTGCTGCTGTGCTCACGCACCACGGATCTCCCGTGTAAAATAGCCGGGCGAATGTCTACTGAACGGGACCGTCATCCGTGGAACAAATCAGCTGAACACTCAAGCGCTAGGTTTCCCTGTGGGTCCCTATGTAAAATATCCAGGGAGCTGGCCAAAACGGGTCCCATTCGTGTTACAAATGAAGTCAAACTCAAAAGATGCATCGATGCGTACGTTGAGAGATTTGGTTGGAGGCGTGTAGGGGCTTTGAAATAAAATGCTGTTGTTCTCTGTCTCTGGTCGTTTTTGCGGTGGGTGTCTGTTAATGGAAAATCTGTACGTGCCTAATGCGAGAATAACTCCACTCCGCATCTCCACACTTTAAAATAACATGATTTTATTATCTTAGTCCCCTTCGGCCTATTGGCCTTTTAAAGACCATTCTTTCAATTTTTTTCAAGGGGAATTTGTTGAAGGAGGCAAGCTCTACACTGGTTTAGACCTTCATGGGTCTCGTGCGCATTACGGTTTGCCCAGCACAGGAGAACTCTTGTCCACGGCACCTAATATCTCCGTCGCTGCGATTATACGTGCTAGCTGTCGGGTGTGCAAACACTTCGATTACCGGTGAGAATATTTCCTCCTACCATGAACGATTACACTGGTCAACACACTTTTTCTGGCATAAGGTATTCCAACGGTAATAAGGTAATTCTGGGGTGCTGATTCCAAATCTGGCATCAGTTTTTGTCTATCACATCAGGTTTTTGAGATATCAAATATTGCATTTTCAATAAAAACTGCAGAAGAAAAATATTAAATAAATGTGGATATTTACATAAAATTATATTATAAACACACTATCCTAAAAATACAGCACCATATCTTTAACACTAAAGCAGTCACTGACTCGCAACAACTTGCAATCATAAGTGACAAAGTTAATTTCGGGTAAAATCAATGAAAATGGGGTATGCCGATAGCATAAAATGAGATGTGATGGAGCAAATCTGAGATCAGATTTGGAATCAGCACCCTGAAATTAGTCTAAAACAGCTGCAAAAGTCCAGGCCAGAAAAAAAAAGTTTTTTTGTTGACCAGTGTTATCCGCGATTACATCCAGAATGCATAGCGAAGAGGCTTCCTAAATACTCGCGATTTTTCGGCGGAGAAGAGGAGGTGTGAGCAACAATTTGCTCCTATCATCCGTGATTGTTTTTTTCGCGGATAAAAGGAATCTCCGCGTGACATTAATCTCCTTAACCGCAGATTATCCGCTAAATTTAACTCCGCGCAGATGAGAGGAAGTAAAATTGCCTATAACCGCCACGGATAATCGGATCCGCAATATTGGTGTGCCCCAAATCATCGCGGCGAATAAGACGAGTTTTTCCAATGCGATATTTGAATATGTTTTCACGCTCCTCTGTATAAATAAAGCTTCCGCATAAATTAGTACACTCCAATGCCTGCCCCAGATACTTTATCGCTCTTGCCTCTTTTTTTTTACGATCAGTGGAAACAAGAAGATGCTCGGTGTATTCGGCACTTTGCTTCGTTCATCATTTCGTAATTTTTTTTTTAACTGGGCTTTATGTAACCCCCCCCCCCCCCCCTCTAGCTCACTCTCTCGCTCACTCTCTCTCTCGCTCTCTCTCTCACGCTCGCTCTCTCGCTCGCTCGCTCTCTCGCTCGTTCTGTCGCTCATTCTCTCGCTCACTCTCTCGTTCTGTACGCCGCCCCCCTCGCAGTCCGACGGCCTCCGACGGGTAGCTCATAACAGCATGCAGAGCTCCCCGTCATCTGCCACCGAGCACATGGCCTCCTCCATCGCCCACTGCTCCTTGAAGGCCGGCACGGCGTGGGTCAGCCGCGCCCCTATCAAGTCAAACAACGGCCTTTATTGCCATTGTGGTGTCATCACGAAGGCAAAACCAACGCAAGCATTGTTATCGCGAGGCTGTCATAACCATTGAATCTGTTCGTGTCATTGCCATTATTCACCTCACCTCCGATGCACCACCCCAGGCCACCATCTTCTCTGACAACATAACAAAGTAGAAGATTGGTCTGAGATCGTAAAAACAACAAAACCGAAATAAATAAATAAGCGACACACACGTGTGTAAATAAACACTTTGGCTTCAAGAGGAACACTACGTAAAAGGTGAAGTTACGGGAAACGTGCCCCCCCCCCCCACCTTTTCTTCGTGGCACATCAAACAAACTGACTCAAGGATCAGGCAATTACCAAAATTAAATCACCACCGCACGTCTTGGCTGAGCTTTGCCGCTGTTATTTTAATGGCCAAGACAGTCGACTAAGCCCCACACTGCTGAGGCACCTGGGTTCGAATCCAGGTCTCAGTCGTCTGCGATGACACCTGGCTCTCAAACGTAGCGAGTCGATGATCTCAACCCTAGGCACAAAAAATGTAAAAATAAAAATGTCACTTTAATTCGGATTCAAATATTTCAATATAAAAAAACACCGGTTCGATTGCCTTGGCGATGTCTTCCGAGTAGCAGCGTGACTTAACGTGGATTTGGAAGCCCATCCTTGGGAGTAGTTCTATGACATCGTGTTCCGTGGTGGGGCGGTGACAGTACTCGCCGCGAGGCTTCTGAAACGGAAACGCCTTCACCGTGCGAACGTCACCGGGAGGCGAAGAGACGCGCCTCTTTCATGAAATTAATACAAAAGGAACAAATGATAAGAGAACGCAAACAAATGAAAAGGTAGGCATTTGGTTTTTGTTTGGCGCTCGTGACGTTGAATGAGTAGAACATGTCCAGAAGGGATCTGGCAGGAACGGACTAATGGAAGGTGGGGAGGGGGAGGGGTTGGCATGCAGGGATGGGGTCAAGGGATGTCACTGTCCAGAACACAGCAAGACATAAAAATAGGCCACGGGATTAATATTGCATTGGAAGTAATTCCCAGTGCTACCAGCTGCTGACAGGTTCCTGCACTTCATCAAAAGTAAGGGCTGCCAGGGAACCTGGCATTGGGAAGACAAAGTATATTGGGATGCTTTCCTTTCTTAAATTATGTCTGTAAATCACGCTGTGTGTGTGTGTCTGTGTTTTATGTGCGTGTGGCGAGCGGTAGTGCAGCGGTTAGCGCGCTGCTGTGCTACGAACCTGGCCACTCAGGTTCGATTCCCGCTCACGGCCAACACCGGCGACGATTATCTGAACCGGTCCTGGGCCTCCCCTAGGTCGACTCGGCCTCAAATGAGCACCTGGTGCGATGTGTAAACATCGCCGCTAGGGAGACAAAAGCGGCCGGGCGTGGTGTTGGCCACCCACCCCCTCGTGTGCCGTGCCGGCCTTTATAGGTGCTCGCTAACAGCACTTACCCCTACGGTCTGTTAAGGCTATACGGGGGATCTGTGTCTTTGTTTTAAATGTCTACACTGGGAAGCGGCGGTGTAGCGATTAGCACGCTGCACTCCTCACCCAGCGAGCCGCGTTCGATTCCCTCTCACGGCCCATAGCAGTGAGGATTGTCTGAACCGGTCATGGGCCTCCCCTCGGTTTACTCAGCCTCAAATGAGTACCTAGTGCGGTGTGTAAACATCGCCACTGGGGAGACAAAGGCGGTCGGGCGTGGTACCGGTCCACCCACCCTCTCGTGTGCCGTGCCGGCCTTCAAAGGTGCTCGCTAACAGCACTTGCCCCTACGGTTTGTTAAGGCTACACGGAGGAACGTTGTCTTTGTCTTCGTACGTCTGCAGTATTGTGTGCGTCTGTGGTGTATTTCCATGTCACTTCGTTCTACACGCATCGTGTAACGGCTACGTGGGGGCAGCAATCGAGCACATTAACAGCTGGTTTCGGAGACATTTCGCTCGGAGTTACAACCGGCATCTGATGATAGGGGCAGCCAGCGCTATTGGCAAGAGCACTCCCCGTACAGGATTGGGAGAGGGGGGGGTCTCGAGTCAACGCCGACAACATTTTTTTGAAACCCAACATGAGTTCAACACGTATTTGGCTTTGGCTTCATTTTTCTCTTTTTTTTATGGCGACTGCCTGACGATGCTGGTTGTTAGCCACCGACGACGGCTCGTCGGGAAACCCAATTGGCCAATTGGTCAACGCGTGCCGATCGCTCTCTAACGACACCGACGGAGCGACTCGAGCGATGGCAAAATTGGACGCGGTTTTGTTCATCACGTGGCAACTCTAGGAACGGGTTGTGGTCAGATGGAGGAAGGGTTTACGACACACGTCGTTGCCATTTGTTTTGTTACTCACCCGCCGATCTGACCCAATAAGCTGACACAAATCAACACGAGTTGTCCTAGAACAGTACGGATAACGGCGCCGCGGTGGCGAAATGTTAACTCCCTCGCCTGGTATACAGGAGTTCGTGGGTTCGATCCCGACCCCTGACGCCTGCTGCTGCTGTATATTTGGAGTTTGAGTGTTCTCCCCGTGCTCGCGTGGATTTTTCTCCGGATCCTCCGGTATTTCCCTCCCACGTTTAGAATCAACATCACGCGTTTAGAGTATTTGGCTCCTGCTAGACATTTCCACGTGATAAGCTACTTCGTTGAGCTGTCATTTGTGGACAGGTTGCTTCTGAAAAAAGAGCTGTTCAGCTCAGCGGCCCTACCTGGTAAAATAAAACAAATGGTTTACTTTAGAAACAGGAAAGTCTGTTCATCTTTTTCATTATCCACAATGCTCCAGGGGTCAAACATAACGAGAGCCGTGTACGCATTGCCCCCTTGATTAAACTGGTTTGCTTTTTTACTGAACTTCTTTAACGAGGCTGGCCCCGATCAGACCCAGCACGCGTCGTTTTCTCGACCGACCTCGTTTTTTGTTCTCTGAGCAGAGGGCTGCCCGGTTTATATTCGCGGCGGTCGGTTTTATTTTGTCCGCGAAGTCCGGGGACATTACGTGGCGGGTCTTCGCGAAGTGTTCCCTGCGATGTTTATGGTCCGCGAGTGAGCGGGTGGGCGGGCAGGCGGGCGTGCGTGCGGTCGAGAGGACGTGTGGATGGATGCGGCGCGTGTTTTATCGGTGCTGCGGTGGGAACGCGGCCGCGTTATTATAATCAAGACGGGGATGGTGGTGAGTGGGGGCGGTTGATGGGGGAGATGGGAAGGGGGTGCAGGAGTGAAGCAGGCCTTGGAACTCTCCAGAGTCAATCTCGACGTCGTATAAAGCGCCTACAGCGCCGCATTACGCAGCACAGCGGAGGGAGAGAGGGGAGCATTGGCAGGCTTTTCGAAACGCGGCATCTTAAAAATCCATTCTCATTAGTATTTCGCTTTATTATTGGTGTTGTTGATGTTACCGTTTTTATTCTTCCAAACCTCGGCGTCTGACATGTACCGAGCAGCCCACCGCGAGGCTGTCCCGAACCCTGCTCCCTTGAAGTGGCCTCGCATTTGAGGCTGCTCAGGGCTCCAAGACCTCTCACTCCCCCGCCCCCCCCCTAGTGTCAGGGGGGACCGGGGTGACGGAAGGCGGCCCCCTCGCTCGTAGCGGCTGTGGGAAAATCATCATCGCGAAGCGTCGGCAGGTCGGGCTACAAGAACGGCCGTGGCTGCCGAGGTGGGTGGGATGGGGGGTAAGGCGCCAACGAGAACGTCCACCGTGGAGATGGAGCGACGAGATGGAAGCTCGTGCGTTGCAGGCGTCGGGATCTCTTCGTTTGGTCGGTGACTCGTCGAGTCTTCTCGAGATTCATTGCCACAGAGGGGCAAGGACGACGACGATGATGACATCGCGCGACTCCTATTGAAGGGGCCAAGACTTGAGGACATTTTCGCAATTGTCGCAACCGCCCGGTTGATGATGCTGGCTCTGAACTAACCAGCGACAAACGCCGGAGACAATTGTTAAATGCGTGTGCTTCGCTCTCCGACAACACTCCTGGTGGTGCCGATGCGGTAATCGATGGGCACGTTCGTTCGTCACGTCGTGACAAATGTATTAATTGGCCGTGTCGGGCGGAGTCAGATTCCAGTTTTGGAATATGTATTTTTTTCTTTAACGAGCAAATCGGAGTGCCTGGAGGAAACCCACCCACCCTGAGGGAACAGCATCGCCGACCCCGCACCAATATAACCGCAACACAGTCGCCGGTACCAGTCGCACACAGCGGGGTGACCCGCCTAATCTGGGAAAAACATTGCGTGATACATTACAGAGACTTGAACTGCTGCTGGCTTACTTGCGAACTTGCGTCGAATGATGAGAGAGCTGAACACCGTCTGAATATTGTTTAACGCGTGGTGTGGCACCGTGACAAAACGCTGGTGGCACTGTGTGACATAAAAACAAAAGATCCCCTGTATAGCCTTAACAGACTGTGGGGGCAAGTGCTGTTAGCGAGCACCTATAAAGGCCGGCACGGCACACGAAGGGGTGGGTGGCCAACACCAAGCCCGGCCGCCTTTGTCTCCCT